TTTGTAAAGAGGCAGAATATTTAAATATGACAGCCCCAAACATAATAACAGGAGAGTTATTTTCAAATATTTTTTGTTGAGATGTCATATAGATTGTAATACATTTCATCCATTTAAGTATACAAATAAGTAAACTTTTAGTATATTTGCAGATTTACAGCAAAAATCACCTCGAAAGTTTACAAAATTTTTGTCACCCCAAAATGAAAAAAATGTAGTCATTTGTGGTCGCATCTTATTCCAATCTCCCCTTAGCTTTTGGCAACTACTATTCCACTTTCTCTATGGGTTTGTCTATTCTTGGTATTTCATATAAACAGATGCACATAACACGCAGCTTTAACAAGGTGACATGCCACACATGCAATGCTTATGAAAAAGAGCCAGACACAAAAGAAATGATTTCCTATTCTTTGTGGGTTTGTGTACTATACTACAAATGTTTTTTAATCTTTTTATTTATAAACAATTTGTTTTGACTTATTCAATAAAAATATTATTTTCATTTTACACAATATAAAATTGCATAGCCGAATCCAAACTCAGGTGTTTTACTTCTAAAGCTTGTGCTTACAGATGTAAATTTTTGAAGATCCACATACATCTGAATGAAGACTATTGAGTAGGAAAGCACAATTACGTTCACCAAGTTCTGTTTCCTCTATGCTGCAATGAATAAAAATGCATATTTCTGTCAAATTTTTCGGGGACAATCCATGAAACAAGACCATTTTCCATGTAATTTAAGAAAAGAATTTCATGAATACATTAATGAAGTTTCAATGCAATGTTAGTAAGAGTTGGCTATTATGAAAACAACACAGTCATTCCCCATATCTATAAGGGATGTGCTTCAAGGCTGCCAGTAGATACCTAAAACCACCTATTATACTGAACTCTACTATGTACTGTGTTTATTCTATACATAAATGCACCTGTGATAATGCTTTGTTAGAAATTAGGTACAAAAGCGATTAAAAACAGTAACTAATAGAACAAAACAGTAAATACAACAACATGTAGCATCACTACTCTTTGCCTTTGGGTGATTATTAAGTAAAATAGGAGGTGCTTGAATGCAAGCACTGCAATATTATTACAACTAGTCTGCTTCCCAAAGGGCTTTTATGTGATTGATAGGTGAGTCACCTGTAGAGTGTAGATCTGCTGGTCAAACAGTTGGTTCAGGCCCCAGACAAGACAGAGTGGACTGATGTGAAATTTCATCCTGCTGCTTACTCAGAACAGTGAGCTGATAAAATGTTTTTTTCTCAAATTTTCATTTCAAAATATTCTGACCATGGTTGACTACATTTTCCTCAAACTACAGAAAGTGAAACCATTGATAAGGGGAAACTACTGTGGTCCATTCTTTAACCTTTATGTTAACATTTCACTAACTTTCAACATCTTTTACATGCTTATACTTCACTTAGATTTACTTGTATTAGTCTTCTGTTTTTCTCCTTTTTATGTTTTCCTACTAGATAACACCAGTGGAAAAAACTTACTTAAGTTTGAAAGTTGAGCCATTTATTGACACCCATGGATGACCGTTGCTCTGACGAAAGTCTCCAACCCATGACCAAAGTGACAGGGAGCCCAGAAATTTCTACAGGAACATAAATATTCTACATTTAAGTCATTATTGAAGATGTTACAAATGGTTAAAAGTGCCAGTTGTGTGTTCTTTCATTACGTCTATAACTATCAAAACAAATTTAGTATTTTAAGCAAGAAATAATAAAGTTGAAAATCACTTTCTATATTGCTGAAAACTGCACAAATGTTTGCACCTTTTCCTTACAATGAACTCTGAGACAATTGTACTTGGTAGTTTCATTCTTCCTCTTGCATTAATGGGGAAAAACATGATCCCTATAATTTGACAGCAACCCATGTTGGAAAACAAATATAACATAAATTTAAATAAACTCCCTCACAGTTATATTTCTCCTGGTGTTAATATTAAAATATTAAAATTAATTAATTAAAATCAACCTATTTTTACACTGTATTTTTTCAATTTGAGGTTTAGGCGGCTGCCACTGAGGAAATAAATGATATATAACCCCAAAATATAGTTTTCTAGACATACCACACCATTCTTTAACCAGGTAAGTGCCCAGTTTTTTGTTTCAGTATTTGTGAAATAGCAGTGACCAAAACATGTGTTTCTCCCTTCTAAAATACCACCAGAATTTATGAAAGACACAAGCAAGGGAGACACTGAAAGGAGGAAAGAGAAGGGGGAACGGATCATGACCCAGGATCAGGGATCAATGCGGAGGTGCGAGGGGCATCTTACTGCCCCAAATGAACAAAGAAACTGATCTATGCCTGCTGGTTCTCAGCACCGAATGAGGTGCTTCAGGTAAGTTCCTCCCCCTCCATAATGAGAGGGAATCCTGCAGCAACACCAGCAAGGCTGGCACCACCAGCAAAGGTGATCTGTCAGGAGGCCTGCCACCTATGAGCAGCCCAGGAAGAGCCTCTGCTGTATCACCAGGAAACACCCGTGTAGATGAGGCTGAAAGGGTCCAGCAGAGGAATTCCATGACCACAGATGCTTCATAGAGGAAGACTCTGTGTCTTTGAGGACATGACCCTTATCCCCACCTTCTGGAGACACCAAATAGAATGAATTTTAAAATATACATAATGTGGAAAGGAGGACAAATGAGGGTATGAGCATGGGCAGGGCTGCTGGGGCTGGAAACACCCGTTTTGTGATGGGACGTGTATTACAGGAGTCCGCTCACTTCGTGAGAAAGCTGCCCAGTCATGATATTTTATACACAGTACAATTAAATAGCAAAATTTAATTTAGAATAAAAGCATTTATAAGAGCATGGTTTTCATGAATAGCCACAATTCGTAATCACTAAATAAGCTTTAACAGTTTATGGATAGAAATAAACTCTTGCAAAGTCAAACAACAGAATAATGTAGAGACCTGAAATAATTAGTGTAAAATATTTACAAGAATATGATGATGTCTATAAATATAATATTGACTAATAAGCTGCTACTAAAGCATTTGAATATTTAACATCTTACCATTTCTTCTTCACTATCTATGTAAAGCAGAGTGGAGTTCTTAGAAGCACAGGCCATCACACTCTCATTCCAAGTTTTGTGTTCCTTACCAACGTAATAACGATTGTTGGTATATGTGAACCACTCCTCTGGACAATGACTACAAGGATATACTGAAGAGAAACCTGAATTACTATCTGGAAACAAAATGAATTTTTAAAATAAATATAAATTTACATATTTTCAATGTATACAATATATGTACATGTCTTTGCATCCTCGTAGGCTGGTAAATAGGCCATTTAAGTAGATTTTGGATGCAGTATCTAGGAAAAAAGAAAACTATAAACATAGAAGAGAATATAGGTAATTAAAAAAATTGGCCTTTCCAATTTTTTTTACTTTCTAAACAACAAAAACTCCAAAAATCATAAAGGAAAAGATTGATAAATTTGACCACATAAGGCAAAACAAAAAACAAAAAACTAAAATCCAATAAAGTTGCATGACAAACTACAAAAAAATAAAAAAGAAAAGAAAAAGAAAAAGAAAGAAAAAACACACACACACATGCACCTGAGGCTCATCCTCTCATCCCATAATTATACTGCCACATAAAACAAAACATCAAACATTTAATGCACCTGGTACATGTCTAAAAAATCACTGAACAAAACCATTTTATTCTAAAAAAGCAAAATTATTTAACTGTTATAACATTAATAATTTGAGTAAAACAAGAAAAGGAAAATGACTTTCAATGAGTATTTTTACTTACTTTTGAAGAAAAGGGAATGCTCTCTTATAATCTCTTATATTTATGAGTGTTTCTTGCCTGATATTTTAATTTTTTCTGCCAAAAATATTGATTGCAAATTGTGCATAACCAAAGATTGAGACAAAATAAAACATGAGTAATCAGTACCTTTGTGCGTTCTGATATTCGAGAGAGAATTGCTCAGCCTCTCCGTTACTATAACTAGAAAAAATAAAGCAATCCATATCAAATAATTAATATCTAAATATAACATTTCACATCCTATAAAGTGGTTAGAGACAATTTCAGTCATTAAAGTGAAAAATTCAGTTATAATCTTACAAAAATATACTTACAGAGACTAAAAGCTACAATTTTTAACACAGACGCCAGTAGGACAATGCAAACGACTCCCAGGATCTCTGCAGTGAGCTGGTGCCTGACTGGAGGGAACAGTAAGTCTGCAGGGAGAGAAACAGAGACACTGAGAAAGGAAGATGGAGACAGCTGTTTAGAGGGTTTACAGAAAGGCAACCTACATGGACAGGGAATCAAAAGAACAAGCTCTTGTCGCTAAACCCACGTCTACCATAGGACTCTTTCTCTTTAAAAATATTGTTAATATTGTTGCATTGTCATAAGTATAGTACTCCATGATTTGTTAATCAAGGCCTACAAATTTAACAATGCATGAATAAAATTAGTCTTCAGGTTTCATATTAGAAATTATGTCCAAACTTTGAGCTCTAACTCTCACAAATGAAAAGTATCCCCTCACTGGGCCAGAC